ATAACATTTCCGGAATTTGCACAATTTTGCAACGCTGCCGTGATGATACGCGATTCATCCGGATTTCAAGGATTTCACGAAGGCTCTCCTGATTCACATATCGTAATTTTTTAGCCATTTTCGACAAGAAACTTGCACAGGACACAAAGGGAGGGTCTCTCTTTCTGCCGTGCGGCGGAAGAACTCCGTAAGAACATTCGAGAGTTTCCAAATTTCCCCGGGTAGAACAAGCATTTTGGACGAGATTCATGCACATTTTTCCTTGAAATTTTCAGATATTTTAGATTAAAGTGCTCACAAAATAGTCTGGAAAAAGAGAAAAATATTGATAACTTTCCCCAATAAATTCGTATTTCATTAGATGAAATTTGGCAACGCCTGAAGGTTCATACGGCGTTTTTCCTTAGCACGGCAGAACCGTTGGCGACGTTTAACTCAGGCCTCGAAAAGCAAAGCTTTTGATAAGCTCGGTTTTATAAAAAGCATAAATCCTCGGGATGCAGTGCCCGATTTTTTTTGAGCGACTGCCGCACAGTAGTCAATTGAAGAGGTCGAACATGATATTTTTGATTAAAACTGCAAATTTTGATGTTTATTCCTCAATATTTTAAATTCAGATGCGTGAATCGTGTTCTACGTGCAATTCTGGTAAAGAATCATGTATCTCAGTACTTAAATTTGTACCTTGTTTATTGATCCATTCAATCTAAAAAAACGAACGTAAAGAACTTTACTAACTTCTTTTAGAACAAATATTTTATCGGGAGAAAATAATGAGGCACCGTTGGAACGCTCATATGGCGTCGAAACACAACATGGGCCTTTTAAGTCCCATTGTAAGATGCTGTGATTATCCTGACGCGAGTTCGAATGATCGTGCCAAACACGGTGCGGTCGGCGTCCAGCTCATATCAGCGCCTGCAAGGCTGCAGGTATACTTCACGCATTGCGCTAGACCGTGCGGTCGGCGTCGAACGCATATAGCGCCTACAACACTGCATGAATACTTCTCGCATTGCACCAAACGCAATTTGAGAGTGATTCTGCCGTGCTAAGGAAGAACGCCGTATGAACATTTGAGAGTTGCCTTTCCTTCAGAAAAATGTTTATTTTTTCAGGAAAGTTATGAATATTTTTCCTTGAAATTTTCAGGAGCTTTTGATGGAATTGCGAACAACGATATCTAGAAAATTTGAAGAAAAATATTGACAACTCCCCCAATAAATTCGTATTTCATTAGATGAAATTTGGCAACGCCTGAGGGTTCATACGGCGTTTTTCCTTAGCAGAACCGTTGGTGACGTTTAACTACGGCCTCGAAAAGCAGAGCTTTTGATAAGCTCGGTTTTATGAAAAGCATAAATCCTCGGGATGCGGTGCCCGATTCCTTTTGAGCGAGTGTCGCACGGTGGATCGAGTCAATTAGAGAGGTAGGACATTAAATTTTTGACTAAAACTGCAAATTTTGATGTTAATTCCGTCATATTTTAAATTTCAATGTGCGTTTTAGGCAGAAAATTTTACGAGGAAACCAATGAAACCACTTTCAGAGCCTCTAAGTTTTGTATAAACGGAGTTATAAGCGTCTTAAGTTTCCAAAGTTTGTCCGACCTCTCCTACTCTGCCGTACGAGGAAAGAACGCCGTATGTACATTCGAGAGTTGTCATATTGTCCCGGATAAAAACATGTAGTTTCGAAGAAAATCATGCTTTTTTTTTCCTTTGAAAGTTTCAGACGCTTTAGATAAAATTGCGAACAAAATTGTCTGAAAAATTGGGGGGGGGGAATATTCACAATTTTTCTGAATCAATTACGTTTTTATTCACTTACTTTTCTTCCTTTTATGTTTTTATTTAAGAAAATATGGCAACGTCGGAGGGTTCATACGGCGTTCTTCCTTAGCACGGCAGTATTGACTCTATCCACTGTGCGTGGCGTTCCGGCGTCAAGTGCAGCCTAATAGAAAATTAAATGGAAGGCATCGCATTTGAGCGGAGGTAGCAGAAGACGACGCCTGAGCAGGTAATTTTTTCGATGGGTAATTTATGGTGTTGACTCAAGGAGCGACGCGCAGGCCGACCGCCCGGCTATCATAATTTAATCAGAGGGGATGCCGATGCCGACCCGCCAACCGAAGGTGAACCCACCTTCAGATGAGCCCCAGAGCACGTATGTGTTTACACATCCCAGGGCTCATCGATTAAGGGATGCATCTTCTTTGCTTTAAGGGATGCGCATTCAAGTTGTCCGGCGACAGGTTCCCTTCCTCTTTAGCTCCGAAGTCTCCTGTGTCGAACAAATTGTGCGCCTTGTTTCAGAACAGCGTATAGGCTATGGGATTCTTCTTGGAGATGCGCGGTTTTTGTCCCTAGCTTAGCGGATTGTGCTTTTTCGGTTGCAAAAGGGATCCTGCCGCTGTTTTTTTTTTAACTCTGAGTGTCACGCCTTGACCGCTCTCCTCGTGTTAGGAATATGAAATTTTTGGGGTTGACTTGAACGGGATTGCAATATAAGGGTTTTATGCAGCAATGAAGGCTATAGAAATGAGGAGAATACGGATTTGAGGTCGCTAAAAAATCGCGAGAATTTCACCCTGGAATCTTTCTAAAAACCGGTGAAATTCCCAAAATTTGCACGCATGACGGGCATGAGCAGGAAACCTTCCAGACGAAGAGTTAACATTTTGGAGATCCTTTTCAAAATTTTACGTACACCATGATTCGCGCAACGGGAATTACTGACATTATCTCCCACCTGAGATATCAACGTTTATATTTAGCACTGGTTACAAAAAAATTTTATTTTTCACGCACATGAAAAACCAGAGTTTACCTGTATCAAATCATGGGCTGCAAAAGTTTTGGCAGGCTAACATTGAGTTTGTGATTTAACTCAAGTAGATAATGAAGGTTGCTTTTATAAGCGGGAAATTTGGATTAATGCATCGAAAAATATTAATATCTTTGCCAGGAGCTCCTTTCAGTAATTTTTGTACTAATAGTCTTCTACGTGAAATTTCGACGGGAAAGTATGTATCATACTTTGACTGCAATTTGCAACAAGGAACTAAAATTCATGGCTCATACTTAAAAATACTCCTCTGCATAGGGCAATTAAAGGCACATATCTTGTTTCTAAAATGAGTCTGAGATAAATTTTAGTTCTTTATTGCAAAATTTAGTCCAGCTCTTAAATTCGTACTTTTTCTCGAGATCTATTACACATTGTAATTCCTAGTTCCTAACTTCTCGTCCAGTAGTCCATTGAAAACAGGGGGAGAAAAATCCAGAATGGACCATTAAACAAGGTACGAAGTTAAGCATTCCGATAGCAAAAATTTCACGTACAACACGATTTGCGCAACTAAAATTACTGAAATTAACTCCTAACCAAAATATTAACGTTTTTTGTGCATAAATTCAAACCTGCTGCTCACGAAAATGCAATGGCCTAAAAACTTCGGGATACGAAAACTTCGGGTCCCACGTACGAAGTTTTTCCCTATGTGTTAGGCACGATTTGACTCACGTGGAGTTTCTTGCAAGGACTGGGCAATTCAAATTTTCCGCAATCAATGTTGTGTAAAAACTTTATTATCTTAGTTAGGAGTTGATTTCAGTAATTTTCGATGCAAGAATCGTGTTCCACGTGAAATTTGAAGTATTTCCATCAAAGAGAACTATGTGCAGGTGGGAAAGATAGGGTCTGCTCGTTAGAGCTCGGGCCATAAGAATGGATGGGAAATATAAAGCGACAGTGACGTAGCTGTCGTCGCGGCTCCTCGTAGTGATCATTAACTCATGAGCCCTGTTCACAACGCTCTAGATACATGCCCGTGGCTCATGGGTGCCGCATTCAGTTATCTCAAAATTCCGTTTGCTGAATTGGAAAAGTAGTCCAGGCAAACAAGGAAAAGAGCCTGCAAAAATCCCGGGTAGCAATATTTTCATCGATTCCTATGTAATTTTTGCCGCTGAATCCGAATTTCAACTTTGCGCCATTAAATTCGGATCGGAAAGTTGCCAAATTTGGCAAAAATGGCCTAAAATCGGACTTTTTCCCGGATTATGGCGGGTAACTTGCCAAAAATTGATCTGACGATAAAATTAGTTATTTTCAGAAATAAAGCTCGTTAAATTTCCTATAAAAAAGTTCCTATCAACTTTTTTGCTCAAGGCAAAATCAAGCGCGCTGGCGGGCTCCGAACTTTGTAAAGTGTGCGAAAATTGCGCATACTGTAATGTGTTGGGTTATCCTTATTATTTACATCAATTAATTTCACTAGGTGTAAATTTTATCATCTTCACTTAATTTGTCCAGAAATTACTCGTCGGACGATTAAAACAGGAGACATCGGGCAGAAACCGCGAAAAACACAATTTTTGCTCATTTTTCTAAGTTCGGAGCCCGCCAGCGCGCTTGATTTTGCATTGAGCAAAAAGGAACTTATAGGAACTGTTTAATAGGAAATTTATCGAGCTTTATTTCTGAAAATAACTAATTTTATCGTCAGATCAATTTTTGGCAAGTTACAGGTCATAATCCGGAAAAAAGGCCGATTTTAGGTCATTTTTGCCAAATTTGGCAACTTTCCGGTCCGAATTTAAAGGCGCAAAGTTGAAATTCGGATTCAGCGTCAAAAATTACATATGAATCGATGAAAACATTGCTACCCGGGATTTTTGCAGGCTCTAGCCCTTTTCATGGCTTATTTGCCTGGACTAAAGAGGGATTTTACGTTCTGTCAAACGAAACTATGTGCAAAAAGTATGAGCCATAGGCATGTGCCTAGAGCGTTGTGAACAGGGCTCATGAGTTAATGACCACCGCGAGGAGCCGCGAAGACGGCTTCGTCACTGGCGCACAATATTTCCCATTCATTCTTATGGCCCAGTACTAACGAGCACACCCCATCTTTCCCACCTACACACAGTTCTGTTCGATAGAAATACGTCCAATTTTGCTTTTGGAACATGTTGTAGAATGCTTAAATTCGTACCTTGTCTATTGGTTCATCGGAGTGAGCTCCACATGCTAGACATTGACACTGGACTTGAAGTTCCTGGGCACATGCACAGTCGAGGGCGTCAACCCTTAAAACGACGACCCCTCCGTGGTGAAAAAAACAATTGAGAAGGAAGAAACTTACGCGAAACGTGGCGGAGGTATGGAAGTAATCACACACAAAATCACCGGGAGTCGAGACGGACACGCACGTCTGGGAGGACAGGAAAAAATCCGTGGCTACGACGCCGATTACGCGAGAGGGACTATTAAAACTCATAACTGTTATCTTTGTTCATTAATTCCCTCACTTGAGAGGGGCCAGGCCCGTGTCCCTTTGTACCTCCAATTCCTCCGTAATTGACGTGGGTGGCCGCTCCTTGTCTTGGCTCCTTCTTCTGTCCTCCTTCCGCGCCGGCCGCGGTCGGGCAATCCGTCCCCGCGACCTCTCGTCTTCAACCTGTCCGTATCCCATCATTGCCACATCATTCCGCCCCCGAAAATAGGTCAACCATCCCAAGGGGTTGCTCCAGACCTTCCCGCACTGTCTATCGCCAGGGTGTCTACTAGTCCGGAATTTCCGGAAAGTCCGGAAATAGTACTGCACTGAAAAAAAAATCTCGGTGTATTTACTAAGAAAAGGGTAAAATTACCAAGAATTCAGGGTTCTATTTGATCCCAGTTTTTTCTTGGTAAAATTACCATTTATGGAATTGATAATTTTACCGAGAAATCTCGGTAAAATTATTGAACTTTCTCGGTACTTTTACTGGACCTTGGTAAAAACGCCGATATTTTTTATCGACTGTGGTAGAATTACCGAGATAAAATGGCAAAGTTACCGGGAATTGATTACCAATAAAAGTGGTATTCTTACCCGAAAAACAGTAAAAATACCGGTTTTTAGGTATGCTTACCGGTCTGTCTTGTTAAAATTACCAATAATTGGTAAAAAAGTGAGATAGTAAAGGTACCAACGGACCGTGGTAAAATCGCCGAGAATTTTTTTTCAGTGTGATTTTTCTACGGCGCACACTGGACCGGGTCAATAGGAGAAGTCGGATAAACTTTGGGAACTTTAAAAGCTTATAACTCCGTTTATACAGAGCTTTGAGGTTCTGAAAGTGGTTCCATTGGTTTCCTCGTGAAATTTTCTCCCAGAAGCTTCCCTTAAAATTTAATACGTGACGAAATAAATATCAAAATTTGCAGTTTTGGTAAAAAATTTCATGTCCGACCTCTCTCATTGACTCGATCCACTATGCGGCGGTCCGGAAGTGCTGATCAAGTGCGGGACTTCCGCAAGAAGGTCCAGAATTTCCTTCTGCATATCACGCGTGTTTTTTAATAGCCTAGAAAGTATGCAATCCCCCGCGTGTTGATTCTCAAAGTAGTATTTGCCTGTAGGATCACAACTGTATAGTTAGTTAATCTTCAAGCTACAAGCTTGAAGCTTCGATGAAATTTTGTGGCCACGTCAGTTTTGTCGCAATTCGAGAACGAAAGTTCCAAATTTTCGCCATTTTTCGAATTTCGTCAAAGAGAAGTACTGAAAAATACTGCATTTAGAAGTTGAGGAGGTACTGACTTTCTCGGGAATGTACTGAAAAAGTACTGATTTTCGGCCAGCCTCTTTTAGTAGACGCTGATGAGATGGTGCACTGTGTGACAAGTGAAAGGAAAGTTAGCGCGCCTTCATAATTTTGGGTATGCAGGAGGGACATCTGTGGAGCAAGAATAGTTGTATCCCAATGTTGGTACTGTCACATTTGTCAGAGGTACAGATTGGACTGCGTTTTTCAATAGGGAAGTACAGTTTCTGGCTTATAGATATGAGCACATATCTGCATAAGTGAGCTAATGGAACATATCGACGGTGAAACTACCAAACCACGTATCTCGGTTTGCGACGTCGCAGACTTCCTGTCATACTTTATTTTTTAAATGAAAAACTACTTAACGTCTAGTCTTGAAAATTTCTGTGATTTTTCCTCTTTGTGCGGAGAAAATTCTGTGAAAATTTCAAGGAATGATATTGATTTGGTCTACTTCAAAAAAATAAAATGCGAGCGTAGATTTTTAAACACCGCAAACGAGATACGTGGTTTGGTAGTTTCACCGTAGATATGTTGTTTCTAAAATGAAGCCAGACATGATAGTTCCTAATTGCAAAATGTAACCCAAATCGTGACAGTGCCCTACAAATAATTTTGAAGGCTAAAAGATTTTTCCTTGCAGTAGAAACAAAGAGACTCCTAAAACATTTTTCCTTGCATTTATATTATTATTGGAATTATGTAATTAAATATTAAACTTTAATAGAGAATTAGACCCATCAAACTCACTTTATTCTAATTTGTGCCAAGCAGCTACGTAGCAACTCATGTTTCAGAGCCTGATCCCTTTACTTCTCCTTTCAGTATCCAAGAAGTTAAGTTTGAACTGCAGTCAGGTATTAAAGGAATGGACCACCAGACAAAGTACGAATTTATCAATTCTGATACATGTTTCTAAATAAAAATTTCACGCATAAAGTTTCAAAAGGAATTCAAGACCTGCATTCGGAGTATCCATGGCTTACGACCAAAAATTCGAGCATATGGTTTAACTATTCGGGCCTTAACCTAGCTTGCGACCTGTCCTACGTTACAAAAAATCGCCTTTCAAAGTTCCCAACCCGACATTCATCAGTCATCAAAGGAGAATGTTATTTGATTTTTTGTTCCAAGAAGCTATTTCAACCACCATAGGGAAAAAAAAGCGTTAAGCACCAAATTTTACTTTTGCTTCCCTCGATTACATTGCTAAGGTTGTTAATGTAGGGTCTTCGATGGCCAAAGTACGAAACCACGTATCCTCATTGCGGTGTTTCAAAATGCCCGCTCCTGTTTTATCTCTTTAAAGAGAAATAAGCCAACTTTAGAACTTGAAATTTTTGCAAAATATTCTGACTTAAAGAGTTTGCAGATGTCTGAAATTTCGAAAATTTCATCTTTAAAGCAATACTGCTAGAAAAACTGAGTTCGAGGAAATCCTTGGGTTCTAAATTCGACAATTATTGGAGGAAATATGACAAAATAACCTAATCTGCTAAAATGCATGTGTTCAAGTGGAAAATGCCGCCAGATGACAACATGAGTTTGCAAATTTTCTCACTTTTAAATATATTTTCCCCCAAAGTCCCATGTCAGAAAAAAAGCATGAAAAATACTGCGAACTCAGCCAGGGCCGGATTTATCTACTTGCCGCCCATGGGCCGCCTGTATTTTGCCGTCCCCTTCTCATTCGTTTTGAAACATCAATAAAAACCATCAAATGAACGTGTCAGCGGGGAAGGGGTGCTTAAGACGCGTTTACCCGTGTTGGACACACTTTTTGCGAAAGCCCCGTCACACTACTAGCAAAAGTTCACGAAACTTTGTGCGAAAGTTAAGTTTCGTAAACCTACCTCTGTGTGGACAAGGCCTTCCATTCATAAGAAATGAACGAAAACATTATGAAAGAACAAACATAAATGTGGATTAATGATTTTAACTTCCGCCACCGCGCCGTGCCGCGCTAACCGCACCGTGTTTGCCGCAATGCGTGAAGTATTCCGACAGTCTTGTAGGCGCTGTGAGTTTCACGCTGATCGCACTGTGTTTGGCACAATCCGCGAAGTATTCACGCAGTCTTGTAGGCGCTATCCATTTCACGCTGACCGCAATGACCGCTCTGTGTTTGATGCAATGCGTGAAGTATTCGTGCAGTCTTGTAGGCGCTAATATATGTTACATGCCATGCCGATCGCCGCGCCGAGGGCTTCTCCTTTTCATCTCAAGTCCTCGTCCATCATTTCTCTCTTAGTCGCGCCGTTCCGGGCCAAATTGCGTGTTTTAAATATTTGGTTTCTCTCTTGACTTGAAGAATCAAAGGTGCTGTCTCTTGTATCTCTGATAGACGAAAAAATTAGAAATTATTATACTCTCAGGGAATGAGAGATTTTGTCGTCTTCTCTCGTTTGTAATTTTTTTTTTTCTAAATCCGACTTTTTTTTTATACCTACATTTAGAAAAAATTGCAATATTTGCCGCCCCCTATAGATTTGCCGCCATGGGCCGCGGCCCATGTGGCCACCCTCTTGATCCGGCCCTGAACTCAGCACATTGAGCACTCTCAGACGAAGCAATAAAATTTTTGCATGCAAATTCTCCATCGAAGAAAAAAAATCAAGACGAATTACGTTGACAAGTTTTCCAAGGAAACGATGTAGTATGACAGGAAATCTGCAACGTTGCAAACGGAAATACGTGGTTACGCACTGGGGCCATGAACATTTCCTCAGGAGGGAGCCCCCCCGCACCCCCCCTTTCCGAGGGTTCCCGAGGGAGGGGATTTTTGGGTGGATCCGGCGGCCGTGTAGATAGTTCCCGTATCCCGGTGTCCCGGTGTCCGATTCTGCTCGAGAGCCGAGACGCGGAGCCGTCATAGCTGGCGTTTTTAATTATTCCAAGTTTCGCTCAATTGAGAGTCCTCATTTCTGGAGCGATGCCAATTGCCCCTCCACCCCCCTCCTACCCACCTTCCTACCCCCCCTCCGACCACTCCGCGGCCACGTCACACCGGCTCTCGCGCTCTCTTCTCCCGATGCGGGTGTAATTCATTACGCTCCCACTTCCAGCTCGTATTACTGCCGTGCTAAGGAAGAACGCCGTATGAACATTCGAGAGTTGCCAAATTTATCATGTTAAAACATGTATTTTTCACAACGTTCGTGCGTATTTTCCCTTGTAATTTTCTGATATTTAAGATTAATTTGCGAGCAAAATCGTCTGAAAATTTCGGAAAATAATTTTCAGAATTTTCCCGGAAAATTCTGTTTCTATCGGAGGAAACTTGGCAACGTCTGAAGGCTCATACGGCGTTTTTCCTTGGCACGGTAGTATAGTCTCACTCAGTGCCGGTGTCGTGAATCGGTTGATCTCCCGTTTAAACCCAATGAAAAGGATCGATTGTCAGGACCTTCACACCGGACTACATGGTCGATTCTTTACCATGACCTCAACTTGGGAAATATCAATAGTCGAGTATTTCGACGGTGCAAGTCGGCAATCACATAACTCGGTTTGCGACGTCGCAGACTTCCTGTCATACTTTATT